ACTGGGAGAGGGGGCTATGGTTGGGGGCTACAGCAAATTTGGGGGGGGGGGCTGCTGCTCCCCCTGTAACCCTCTCCCAATGCTGCTGCTGCCCACCCCGAGTGCAGCCTGGCCCAGCCCAGCCCAGCCCCCCACCACCAGGAAGAGCTTGGCACCGCCCCAGCCTGCAGCTGCAGTGCAGCCCACCCCACTCGCACCCTGTGCAGACCTGGGGGCACATGCCCCCTACCTTGTGCCCTTCAGGGGTGTGTGTGTGTAGCCATGGGAGCCCCCGCTCTGTGCCCCCCAGATGAGCTGCGGCTCTATCCTCCCTGCCCCACCCTGGCTGGGCAGTGCTTGCTCCAGCCCTACTCCTCCCTCACTGTAGGAGTCTTGATCTGCCCCTTCCAGGCCCCTTCCCTCCCCTCTTCACCGCAACAGACTTACTAGCTGCACGCAGCTGTATTGGAAATCAGATCAGTATTGGCTGATATGCCTCTTAAAAATTGGCTATTGGTATTGGCCCCCAGAATCTCTGTTGGTACACCCCTAGTTTGTAGGCATGCTCTAAGACTTCAAACTCCACTGACTCTTACAGACATCCTCTACCAGTCCAACTCTATTGTTGCACTCTCTGTACCAGCCACACTCAGTACAAATGAATGGCTAGAATTGTCCATTCGTTAAATAGAAACCAATGGAGTTATTCTTCGTATTCTTACACCAGGGCTGCATGTAATCCAGAACAGCAGGTGCCACTGAAAGGAAGCTCAAACTGTGACTTGCATACCTTGACCCGCTGCAGCAGTTGAAGCTGTCTGACAAGTGACTAGAGACAGTTGTCCAGCTTGTCTGGGGTGCAAGGAATTGTTGTTATTTCCAGTTTCCTTATTCACAGGTTTCCTTTCATTGTATTGCCCTTTCCCGTTTGAAGAAGAACAATGAAGAACCGCTCCTCATCTCCCCCTTTGCACGTTCATGTGGATGAAAACACCCCTGTCCATGTCCATATAAAAAAGGGTCAGAAAACAACACCGGCAAAAAGCCAGGTAGGAGTGTGCAGTTGGTGTTTGTTAGGGCTATTGGCCAGGAAATTGAAAGGTCCAAGAAGCACCACTGAATCTTCAAGGTCTGTTTCTGTCACTTGATGTCTGAATGTATAGATGGTAGATTAGAAAAATAAGACTTGCTGCATTCATTTCACTGTGAATTTTAAGCGATGCTTAAGAAATCTTATAAATAGACTGACCTTATACATTTTCTATGTGCTTGTTATATGTAAGGGTATAGTTGCATGATAACCCCTTTTTCCTTCTTGGTGCCTTTTTCCCTCATTCTGAAACATTTTACAAACATCTAAACTTCAACTCTCCTCTCCCCACATCGTGAGATGGGTGAGAGCCCATCTATTTTACAGATGTAAAGAGATGTTAAGTGGGTGACTGAACACCCCAATCAATTGTGGCAGAACCAGGAGCTTGAAAAACACCCACACTCTTTAGCTATTAGGTAGCCTATCACCATTCTTCGTTGAAGACTTTAATGCTGAATCAAATGGGCATGGCCATTGGGGCAGTACTCTGCTTCTGGATGCAGATCCTGGCAAAATTGAGCATTTTTTTTTTTTTGCATTGAAATTTTTGACAAACTTGCCAGATCTCTGCCCATCTCTTTGCTTGATGAAAAGGCTGGTGGAGAGAGAATTTATTAGGCATTTCAGATTTCACCTGGATCAGATTAATTGAAAGATACTAAAAAAAAAATCTAGATTCAAATCCATCTTTGGGCACGCAGACAGCTCTCTCTGATCTGGTGAAAGTTTGTCTCCTGGGCATTGGCAAGGAGGCTCTGTTAGTACTTTTGCATACAACTGACTTGCTGGTGTTGGTACCTAACATAGTATTTTGGCAGTATCTTCTCTTTGGCTCTTCCAAAGCTTTCCCTGAAGCTTATTTGGAAGAGGGCTTAATGCTTAACAATGACTTTTTGCTGTGTGTTTTCTCTATAGTTGTCATTTAAGGTTTGGTGTAAGATCTTGGATCATCTTTCATGTGCTCTTCCTCGTTGGAACACTTTCTGCAGCTCAGCTGTCTTGATTCAGCTACAGCAGGGGCAGGCAATTACTTTGGGCGGAGGGCCACTTACTGAGTTTTGACAAGCAGCCAGGGGCAGATAAATATTTTGTAAATTTTTTAGGGGCGCCATGGGCCAGATAGAATGGTCTGGCAGGCCGCATCCGGCCTGCGAGCTGCATTTTGCCCACCCCGAGCTACAGCCATCAGACCCAGTTTGATTCATTTCAAGTTATGTCCAGCCTCCAAGGTGCTGTATTTTAAAGCACTCGTCTTGAATGCAATTTAAAACATGCCCAAAGGAGAGAAATGAGAGGAGGTTTTCACTTAGGGCTTTGTAATATTTTTCAAGCAAGCTAACTCCCCAAAGTGTGAGAGAGCAACCAGATCATTTTTTCATATTGTAGCCAAGGCTCTCTCTGCATCATAAAAGCAGAGCTACAAGTGATGTCATAAAAGCCCTGGCTGACAAATAGCAAGAATGCTTTCATTCTGGCTATGTGATCTCTGATCTAAGCAATAACCATTTTTTGTGCTTGGCACTGCCTTACTTCGAGCTGTCAACAACTGCTCTCTGATCTGATGTACCATGTGGAGCATTCTGTGGTATTATTGTATGAATGTATCTGTTAACTTTTTCAGTATTAAAAGTGTAATTGATTACAAAAAGTCTTACGTGGTTTACCTTCTTTTTTTTCTCTCTCTCTTTCTTCAGCAAAAACACAAACAGAAAATGAAAGGGGATACCGTGAACATGCGCCGAAGCGTCCGAGTGAAAACTAAGGTCCCCTGGATGCCCCCAGGCAAAACATCTGTCCGGGAGTCCACCTACAAGTGGGAGGTTTGGCTGAGTGGACTTTTTTTTGGGCACATGGATTGTAACATTAAACAGAGATTAGGAGAGGGAAGGAGTAGCCTTAGGCTGGAGGGAGCTGTTTGAGATTTCTGCTGCCACCTGACAGTCATTTTAATCATTCTTGGCTATTGGAATTTTATTTATATAGAGTCTGACCTTGGAACTCACGTTGTGTCTATTTTTTATATTGCTATCTGCCCCTTTATTTCCTGATAACCCCTAAACTTCCAAGGCCAAATAAATTCCCCTTTCCTTTTCATTTCCCCTCATCTAAAAGGCCTTGCCTTGTATTAAGTACAGGGAGGTTATTAGGAAGCAATGGGTATTGCTGCCTGTCCTATTGGGATTGAATGAACTCTGTTGCTTGTATTCCCATCTGTTGTTGACTTGGAACTTGATCTCCTAATTTTTTTTAACTCCCCCATCCATACTAGACTATCAAACTAATTCCTGTACATGTTGTTTTGGTGGATAAAGGCTGGCTTATTTTTCAGTATTACTAGCCTTTGAGATTTGACATTGGTAGGACTCCTGTAGTTTTTTCTTCCTTAGACTTTTTTGAGAGATGCCTCATAGTCTCTATATTGGTTTTGGAAGGATTGATGTTAAAATGCTGTGTGCTCCTTTAAAAATGCTCTCCATTATCACTTCCTTGCCAGGGACCAACACATCGCCTGGAAATAACACCTCCAGACTCAGAAAAATTGCTCTCAGTGCTGCGTCTGAGTGACCTCTCCACAGATGAGGAGGATGCCATCCACAGCAAAATGAACAAATATGAGAAGAGGATCGATAGCCTGATGAATGTAGTGGGAACACTTAAGAATGAGGTGAGAGAGCCATGCTAAGGACCCTGAGATGTTTGCAGGGGCTTGCAGATGAGGCAGAGTAAGACTGAAGGAGAAGGGAACTTGGTAAGAAGAAGGTAAAGACTGGAATACAGGGCAGAAGTGCAACCATGAAAAATGCAACTGATGAAAGGGCAAAAGTGCAGCCCATCTAATACCTAGGTTTCAGGGACCAATCTAAATGGAGTGGAGAAGGGCTGAACTACTTATTGGGCTTCTTGCACTAAAGCAGTGGTTTTCAACTTTTTGCATTTATGAACCCCTAAGAAATTTTGAATGGAGATGTGGACACTTTTGAATTGTAAGTGTGGGTATTCACATATTTTTTTTGAATGATCATAGTTATTTTTTGCAGACTTCTTAGACATAGCCTAAGGTTAAAAGGAAGCCCACAGGTTGAAAACCACTGCACTAGAGAAATCTGCTAATGAGGTGGCTTTCATTAAGTTCAGTTGTTAGTTCTCAACTACAGACTGAATAAGGAATTTTAGTAATGATAAGGTCTGTTATGGATTTAATACTATTTTTTGCCACAGATTAATGTTTTGCCTCAGTTTCACTCCCACCAGAGCCTAAAATCTATAAGGTATTGTCATCCCCAAAAGTGAAAGTTTTATCTTAAAATACTGTCCCATTCTCAGGGATTTTTCTTGTTTAACAATTATGCTCTTCCTGGCTGACAACCAGACTTCACATTTCAGTGACATCGCATTCTCTTGTGTAATCTAAATGGTCCTCCAGTACATTTTAATAACTCTCCCTGAAGAGTCAAATGCAAAATTTAAAAAATACAGATCTGTAGGAGTGCCAGGAGTCCCTATCAGTATGGACCTTTCCCTTTCTTTCAGCTTACCTTGATGTTAAGTGGAAATGATCCAAATTGCTGTTCCTTTGCAGTTACAGAGCATCATAATTTCAAGGAAAGTGTGAACAAATATAGGGCCTTTAGTTGAGTTGATTCTTAGCTATTGACTTGTACAATTTTTTTATAGCATAGATAAGTGCAAACACTTATCTATGCTATAAAACCCTACCGAGTCAGTCATCTGGTTTAAAGAAATAGCAGTCTTCTAAGCCAAATGCAGTAAGATAGAACGTATATGGGATGTAACCAGACTGAATTTGGGGTATATTTAAGCAGTTCAGTCTTAACACACAACCTCATTCATGTTACCAGTTTTAAACTTCCAGTTAGTCAGATGGCCTCTACTGTCTGTTCTTCTGAGTGAAATTATTAGGCCTGAAGCACTGGCTAAATTACAACTTAAGTTCATGGTCAGCTGCCTTAATTATCTTCAAGTTAGCCTTTCACGTTCTTCAACAGTGTGTAGCGGCACCACCTGACAGTTTCACAGCTGTTGTGCATTGCTGGTGTGGTGGGGAGGGATATGAACCAAGTATACCTCTGTAAAATCACCTGCATAAATGTTATTTGAAGCTCTGCATAAATATTCTTTCCTTAGGCAAAGGTGCAGAAACAGGAAGAACAGAGGCTAGTGACAAAGCGTCTCCTTGAGGAGCAGAAGGAAGAGCTAGATGAGGTCACGCAAGAGCTGGTGGAGACAGAACATGAAAATACACTGCTCCGACGTAATATTGAGCGCATGAAGGAAGAAAAAGATCTTACTGTGTAAAGTAGCTTTAACTCCCTTGTGCTCACACAACAGAATAGTATTTGCAGAGCAGTGCAGGGGGCTCAGAAGTCCTTTCCAGTCCTAAGTATCCTTTTAGACATAATGTTTCCTGGTTGGACTTTGGCTAACAGTTTTGCCCAGGACCCTGCAGAATTGCCATTTTTCCTTGCCCATCCTCAGATAAATTGACTTCATAGTCTCTTATCTGGGGGAAGATGTGGTTACAGTCTGTTAATACACCAGAGGAGTGAATGTCCAAAAGGATGCCATTTTTGCTGAGGGGCCATGTTGACATAAGAACACATGAATAAACTTGGATGGAAACTAGAGGGTATATCGTTGTCTTGTGTGGACTAAACGGTGGAGATGGGCTTAAGGGTAGGAATACATGATGTTTCCTGTGGTGGCCAAGGACAGGGCTCAGCAGCTCAAGAGTCTCTTTGAGACGTATGTGTTCTTACCTGCTTTCAGTTAAACAATGCAGCACTGTCCTCTTTCTCCAGTTTTTGCCTTGGCATCTCCTTGTGGTAGTAGAAAATCTCTTGTATTGCTGACATAGTACTTGCTTTCAAGACACTGTGTTCTCCTTGCATTTTGCTGAGTGGAAAATGGCAAGACATGTATGTTAGGTGGTGTGACCTCTCACCCTGTCCCCGATGCTGAAGTAAAAAAACAAAAAACCTGAAACTTTCAGAATGTCTAAGGCTTGGGAAGATTTTTATGAGACACTTCCCTCCTCCTTTTTCTCTTTGAAGGGTTTTTTGTTGGTTTAATTGTGGGTATTGATGTCCTCTCTGTTCGGCTGTTACCATTGACTGGCACAAGTGTCTGGGGAGAAATTATAGTATTGTGGTTTAGGGCTTAGAATGTGGATTGCTTTGCTATAACTCACAGATTTGTCCACTTTCATTTCTCTGAAGAGTGGAAGGATTGTAAAGGATTTATTGCTTCCTATCCCAACCTACCTTCAGCAATTAAAAGTAATGAATGTTAAGTATTTGTGGGTTTTACTCATTTTCACTTGGAGCAGAAATCCCAATACAATGCTTTCTTTAAGCTGTACAGATTTTCTTTCTTTCCCCACCCCCATCCTTAGCTGCATGGGGCTCTCCTTTTTCTGATGGCTGTATTGCTTTTGCAGACTGCAGAAGAGACACTTGCAGCACGAGAAGGAGTGTTTGCTATCCAAGTTAGTCGAGACAGAAATGGATGGAGCTGCAGCAGCCAAACAGATTCATGCACTGAAAGACACAATTGGGAGACTCAAAAATGTAGGTAGTGGCATTAGTTCACTTTGCTACATTGTTGCTTCACTGTTCCTATGCTGTAGCTGTTACAGAAGGCTGGTTTGGTGGTTAAACAAAAAAAGCCTCCTTGCCTTTCTTTGCCAATGTGTCTGACAGTACCTCACATGTCCCGTGATCTAAAACCCAGACTAGGTGAGATCTGAAACCACTCGAGTTTACATATGGGAGTTCACTAGCCAACATCCTGCAGATTTCCTTTTTGCTAATGCCACACAATCAGGCTGTTTTGCTGTGCTTCAAGTGTTTTGTATAGTCCTTCTGGTACCTTCTTTCCAGGTACTAGAATTTGTGCTGCAGCACAATATAACCATGTCTGTTTCTTAGGAGAAGCACATGACTAGCTCGGATATTAACACACTGACGAGACAAAAGGAACTGTTGCTACAGAAACTGAGCACTTTTGAAGAAACCAACCGGACGCTCCGAGAGCTCCTTAGAGAGCAGCACAACCGGGAGGTGAGCAGGGGCTGTATGGGCGGAAAGGGTCTAGGGGTCAGAGACCAGAGGTTGGAGTGACTTCTGCTCATCCCTTTGCTTCTGATATGCTTTGTGACCTCTTTACCTCCTCCTGCCTCCGTTTTCTGCTCTGAAAAATAGGGGTAACCTCTTCCCCATAGGGATGTTGTGATGCTTAGGCAAGTGTCTGCACCAGGAGTGCTTTATTGGTTATGCTAAGGGTGACCAAACCCTTTTAATGAAGACTCAGCTCCACTGGCAAAGGAGAGCTTTTATTGGTATAAAAGAACCATTCCTCAGCCTATGAAATGAAACGCGTTATATAGATAAAAGCAATTATGTACTGTTACAATGGTGTCTCCTCTTGGGGCTCCTGGCAGCACAGTCAAGTCAGTCTGTCATGTGAAGCAATTATACCTGTGCGTGAGAGATCTCCAGTGCAGCCTCTAATGTTTTACCAGTAGTGTCAAAATGTTAAGGGCTCTGTAAATGCTAGACAAGCTGCAAGAGCAGTACTGCTTAGAGAAGTTTGGCCTTGCACAAAGCAGTACAAATTGAACAGTCCTGGGGCAGTTTTCTCAGCCACTCATGATTCCATTAAAGGAACTGTTTAATGCCACGTGTGTCCTTTAAAGAACTTTAATCATCGTTGTACACTTCAGTACTTCTTTGACTAGCTTAAAGGAGATACAAATAAGGGCTTTCTAAGATGGAAATTCTGGGGGTAGGGAAATGACATTGTTGGCTAGTACTAAAAAGGTAGCAGTGATTCTCAGCAGGGTTGATTTTTTTTTCAGTGTTGGGAAGTAGATATTTTTCCCAGAACCTTCTTAAGGAACGTATGTAGATCTTGGATTTGTCTTAGAAGGCAAATTCTCCTGGGGCAGATTCCATACAAGCTTCTTTGTTGATTCATTTGTAGAAAGATGCACAGAAGTTGTTGGAACAGCAAGGGGTGCTGCTGAAGAGGCTGGCTGACTCGGATGCAGAGAAAGCGGTAATGCGGACCAAAAAACTTTAAACAGAGTGGAGAAGTAGAGCTTTACAGAATCCGAGCACTTTTGAAGACTGCTTGTTTGTTCTTCAAGATACGGTGCCTGGTGTGGTGAGAGGTGCTATAAAGATACCTTTTCAACTGATGAAGACTGCATTGGCCTCTCACTGGGCTTAGAGATGCTTGTGGGCTAACAACCCTCCATGTTTTAGAGAGGATTGTCTTTCATAAGTTGTACAGTGTTTAGTTTTGAACGGCATCCTTCAGACCCATGTGTAAAACACAACTTTGTCTCTGACACAGCAACAGTATAGTTATAGTGGATGAACAATAATTAGGTTTTCTAAGTTTTTAATATCTTTGCTTCATGTGGCAAGAATAAGCACCAGTTACCTTGTTGATGCCTGCTGGTGCAAAATATTAAAAATTCAAGAAACAATTTAGGGTTTAGTCCTTCAGTTCTTATTCTCAGAGTAACCCAGCTGCCTCTAGAGGCAAGCAAGGGTAGTATGGCCAGACTGTTAGGTAAATTGGGAAAATAATATCTGCATCAGGAAAGTCATAAAGCTTATAGTGAGCTGTCTGGGGCAGAATTTCCTCAGCCCGTGGGCCAGATCCAGTCCATGGAGCCATGCCATCCAGCTTGCAGAGGTCCCCACAAGTCTAAAAATTTGGTGGCAGAGGAGTGGTTGCAGCAGTTGCCACCTCCTACTGCCAGATTTCCAGACCAGTAGGAAGCCACATGGGACAGTTAGCATACTAGATTAGCATGTGGAGGTGGTTTGGAGCCAATCTGGGCACACTGGTGTTGCCTGTGGAGGTGTTGCCGGACCCAATTCTGCAGTATGGGGCTGAGTGGAGGTGGGGCAGGGCCCTGATCCGGCCTGCGGGCCAGTCCCACACCATTCAGCCTGTGGCATCAAAAAGTTGAACACCACTGGCTTAGTCAGCATCTAACAAAACGAAGCCCCACTACTTAATTGCCATTCTTAGACACCCCCTTTATTATAGAAAACATGTACTGAGCACTTGTCTTTCCACTAGAGCCTTCCGCCTGTGGAATGCAAGCTGGTGTTGCTACTGGGGATGATGGAAATAGAGAGTTCTGTAGCTCAGACTTGAAGAGGGGTGCAGTTATTTCCCTTCCTTACTGTGTTGGCAACAATCCTGTTGTTTCTTGTGATCAACGTGTCTTTTTTTCCCCCCTCCTTCCCTTGTTTTCCAGCAACTTAAGATGAAGCTACAGGAGAAAGAGAAGGAGGTGGATGCTCTTATTATTCAGATTCAGGCAGAAAAGGTAGTTTCCCTTTTCTCTTCCTACTCCTCTTCAAATAGTCTTGGAACAGCAAATTTTGTGGGTCTGGAATCTAAAGGAACTATTAATTTAAGATATTGTGGGTCCTGCTTGTTTAAGAAACCTTACAGACATCTTCCTTATTTCCACTCACAATTTTGGATTTGTTTTTCACTGTATTAAGTGCCCATCATAAAGGTTTTAGGCAATGCACATGAATGACAGATGCTACTTCAGGACAGGCTGTTTCCTAGGGTTTCTCCCTAAGCATTGCTTAGGGCACTTTGCTTGGTGGGGTCTTAAATTGTACCGAGGCAGAGACAAGCCTGTAGCAAGTCTTAAGTGTAGGTCCTTTGGGCCCCAACAGTTTTCCTTCTCCTGTGGTCCCATTATGCCCTGCCTCCCCCACTTTCAAATCCAGTCCTCCCCCCTGCTTAGGAAGCAGAGAAGACAATGGGCAATGGAGGCAAGGGGTATTTTGGTCTAGAGAAAGTTCTTGCATGGTGGTCAAATGTGGTGATGGAGGAACTCTGAATGTGTTTTGGAAAAACAGCTGGAAACGAGGGCATAAGAGGGAGAAAAAACAGGGCTTATGGATATGAAGCAGAAAACGGTACCCTTCATCAAGATCTCAGTGCACAATACTTGGCTTAGGGATCCTGCGGGCTGCTTTGTTCTTGTGTTAACGTTTGTTCTTGTACCTCAAAGCCAAACCTGTGTAAGTTGTTTCCTGGCCTCCCCTCTGCTCTCTGTTCAGAGCTGTTACCCACTAGCTAACTTGGCCTGTATTGACTGAGGTGGCTGGCTTCTGTTCCCACAACCAAGAAAATGAATGTCTTAAGCATTCTTACCAATATTTCTTGTTTTAGCTGTTTAGCAAAGCAGAGCCCTGAACTGATGTATGGTGGGAAATGCCCTGTCTGTTTCCATAGCTTACGTGGGTGGGGAAACTCTTTTCTATTTAGGACCAAGCGAAGACGGCATGTGAACTGTCCAAATCTATGGAAGCTATGAGAGGCCATTTACAGGCACAGCTGCGAAATAAAGAAGCTGAGAATAACCGTCTGGCTGTCCAGATCCGGGTAGGTGTGGTATAACTTGGTTTTGTTTCACCATTCTCCAGTTGTGCTTTATACTGATCATCTGAATTCAGTGTGTAAGCATGATTGCCATAGTCTGTTCTATGCTATGCTTATCCAGTAAATGACATGCATCAACTCATGACAGTTATACACCATTGCTACACACATTTTCTTCCATAATTTTAGGTAATAGCTAAACTTTTGCTTTCTCACGTGTGAAGTAAAATCACAGGCTTAAGTTGACTACCTTTTCATTAGAAGTTTCTTTAAGTGAAATATGAAGTAGTTGGTTGAAGGATGTTTAAAAAAGATGACTCTTGCTTAAACAGAATTGGAAAAGAAGGAAAAGTCTTTCTTAGCTGTCTGGAAAAAACTCTTGCCATGAAGGATTACCTTGCTTGTGTAACCATTTCCATAAATTTAGACATCTGGAAAGGCTTTTATTTTACTGAGCAATGAGGTTATATGTAGATATGAACCAAGGGAGATGCACATCAAGGAAAAGGAAGTCTTCCTAGGAAAACTGAAAGTTTGGAAGACTGGGTATGTCTTAAGCAGCTGTTAGGAATGAAGGTTACTGCACGAAGTAGGAGTACTCTTGCAAAGCAGAAGAGTTCTTCTAAAACCTTTCTGGCGATAGCAAAGAATATTGGCCCCAAAGTCAGACTAGAGGGGAAGTGAAATGATACTTACCCAAACCAGTTTCACATTCAGGCCTTTGCCTTTTAATGTAGGAAAATTCAGAACCAAACAATTAACTTCCACCTTTGCTTATTCTTGGCACGTGCTGCCTGAGTTGGTTCCCAGGAGGTGCTCCCCTTGTTAACTGAGAATGAAAATGAAATCTCTGCCCTTTGCATGTACTAACACCATGAGAGGAAAAAATCATGAAGGAAGAATACTCTGTTTAGGCATATAGCAATACAATGTAATACATTAGGACTGAAAGTACAGTGTCACAGCCTTTCCCCCTCCTCTTCCCTATCCCTCTGCTTATGCATGAGTGTGAGCTGTTTTCAACCTTGTTTTATCTCATCACTTGAAGTATTAGTTGCATAGTGTTAGAGTAGACTGAAGTAGGATTACAGTACCTCCTCGCTGGACCATGTTCCTTGATGACTTATGTCCCACTGTTTGCAGGTGGGAGATGAGTTGCTCTGCAGGGTATTCCACATATCATGTGCCCTTTTTGTGGGGTTTGTGTTTTTCTCCCCACTTCCAGAACTTGGAGCGCAATGGAACTCAGCATAAGGCGGAGGTGGAACATATCATGGAGCAACTGAAAGAGCTGAAGCAGAAGGCAGAACGTGATAAAGAGGCCCTGAAGAAAGCCATACGTGCACAGAAGGAGCGAGCAGAGCGCAGTGAAGAATATGCTGAACAACTGAACATCCAGCTAGCAGAAAAGGTAGTTGGTCATGAGGAGGAAGGAAAGAATCCCTCCTTGAGAGTGTGTGAGAGCGTATGCAAAAGCAAATTGTTGACTTCTGATACCAGCCCCAGGGTGAGGGGCTGCTTTTATCTAATGAGTTTTATGTGTGTACCATGGCCTCAGTCCATTTGCTGTATGCTTTAGAACAACCAGATTTCTTTGCTGTCAGTACTTACTGTCACTTCTTATGTGTTTAAATTTAGATCATGTAGTAAACTAGCAAATCTGATCATCATCTGCTTTTGCAGAGTAAAGGAGAATAGACTAGAGCTGGCAAGGCCTTTTTTAAGCTGAAAGGCAGGGCCTTTTTTAAACACTGAATTTTTTAAGCTTTAGTATCTGTAACTTAGCTTGAAATCATGAATGTAATTATGGTAGTAAAGGAATGTGGCAGAAGAGGAAGTAGAAATGAAAATGGAAATTTTATTTCATGCAAGTACAAATTGGAGGTGTTGAGACCAGGGAATAGAAGTTTGACAAAACTAGACTTGGCCCTGGAGAGAAAGAGATTGAAAGCTATATGAAAAAAGAAAAAGGCAGAAAAAGAGGTGTAAGACCAAGCAGAAAAGAACATGAAAAATACTTGAAAAGCACAAAAGGGTTTTCTTTAGAGATTTGGGATTCCACAGTCACTTGCAGGGTTTTAGTTTTGCTTTGCTTTTCTAAATGTTGGATTCAGTCTTCAAAAAGGATGCCTATGTTTCCCTTGATACTTATGGTGTTGAAGAAATGACATTTGGTAAGGATCAGGAAAGGAAAGGTATGAGGAAAATGAAAGGAAAGGTATACAAATATTGCAGGTGAGCCTGAGTACAGTCTGAGGTGTTCACACTCATCTCCCTCCCTGGTGCACACCCTCTGCATACCAGTGTTCCCCCCTGACCTTCTGTTTTGTTCCTCTCATCCCACCTCATTTTTGTTTGATAGGACAGTTATGTTGCCGAGGCACTGTCTACTTTGGAGTCGTGGAGGAGCCGCTATAACAAAGTGGTAAAGGACAAAACGGACCTGGAGGTGGAGATAGTCATGCTGAACAGGTAAAACCTCTGTGTAGGGAGCCAGCAAGGACAGAGTATGAGGAACAGTTCACAAATGGACTTGTCAAGCCTTTAAGATAGGGTATAAAACTGTTCATGTGAAAACTGAAGGCACAGCGTCTGTAGTGGCTTGAGCAAGGATTTGAAGGCCAAAAAAGACCAGATTCCTGCTCCTGGCTGCCACCTTAATTCATGAATTGCTTAATTCCTGTGCCTGCTAGCTGTTCTGTAAACTACACAAACAAGTGTGACTACTTTGTGTAAGTCACTTTGAGATGCTTGAATGAAATGGCAAAGTAGCATGACTTAATGCTGACTTCTGGGGGGCAGAAGGGCATATCAAATGTTATCAGTATTATTGCATATAGTTTCCCTAGGGTAACAGATGAACTGGAGGAAACCAGAGACAGATTGTATTAGCCTGTTTGTCTTTGAAACAACCAGCCTGACATTTCTGTAGCCAGCCAGTGGGTAGAGTGAGTGAGTGAACCCTGTGTCCTTTAATGGTTAGTTTGCCCTTTGCATGGCAGCCGTATTACAGAATTGTTGGAGCAGCAGAGCACCATTGAGGACAAAATGCGGGAAGACAGGGATGCTCTGGTAGAGAAACTGCACCGACAAGCCACGGAGGCAACATCATTCAAAATGGAGAATGAAAGGCTGAAGGTCAGAATCTGCCTGTTGTGAAGCTGAAACACTAATGATCCTGGAATGAGTTGGGAGAAATGAGCATGAATTGCTGTTTCCCCTCTGGATAGAGAAAGGAATGTATCCACTTTGGGCCCAATTGATGTCACACCTAGTTGTATCTGAATGTAACTGGATTGATTATATCTACCATTCATTTTCTCATCCCTTGGCTAGATGTGGTAGATTAAAATTGGAGAGAAAAGATCAGGAAAAGGTTGGGCAGGGGGTTCAAATAGTCCTTTCTATCCTTCAGTTATTTTGTGTGGCATTAGAGATGAGCCTCGAACCATGCAACAGTAGGGCTGGGAAGGACCTTGAGGTCATCTGGTCTGTACCTCTAGGCCACAGCAAGATCCATCCTATGTAAACCATTCCAGCAAAGCATTTGCCACTCTTCCCCTTCAACATCTCCTAATGCTGGAGATTTGAACTGCAGCTTCCAGAACGGCAAGATTCCTGCAATTGTTTTCCAGGCACATGCTATTTCCTCCGGTAACTATCCATTTATGTGGTAGGTAATCGGCATGCGTATTCCCACAAAAGTTTCAGTTCAAACAGAGCGTGACCCTAGTCCAGTGACTGCAGTTAATGTAAAAGTATTTTAATTTAGAACAGAGTAGAATAATTGGGAAGGCAATGAATTTCCACTGATGTTAAGGGGTCCTTCCAGTATATGCCAGCAGAAAACTTTATCCTTTAGTTCATGTAGACTCTGCCCTCAGAGATTAGGATTAGAGCAATTTGTCCTTCTCCAAGCACTGCCTCTTGAAAAGATGTCTTCTCACTCCAGGCTAGTATGTTCCCAATGGAGGAAAAACTGAACCAAGCACATCTGGAGGTGCAGCACCTCAAGACATCTCTCAGGAACTACGAAGGGCTGATTGAAACCTATAAGTCTCAGGTACTTTATTCACTCCTCCATCTTCCCCTCCCCTCATGCACGCCTTTTTGTTTCCTAGCTGTCATGTGTTTTTAGTTTCTTTTCTTTCATACCTTAATTCTTTTTGCTTGCTACTGAATGATGCCCCATTCCAGCTTTGAGTCTTACTATAGTTATGAAGACCTGATATCTATTTACATAAATGCTTTATAGTTTTTGTTGTGTGTTTTGTTTTGTTTTGAAATGGCAAGCTGCAGACTGCCATTGTTATGCTCTGGATTTGAAAGTGTTGCCTTACTCAGCATAGCCCTGTTGTCTATGCTGTGAGCAGAAACTGTGAGGTTAGGAGCAGGTTATCAGGTGGTGAAGTCAGGTTGCTGTACTGGGGAAAAGTGAAAGTGGCTTTTGTCCTCATGTCTGGAGAGGATTTTGTTCTGTTCTAGTTGTGTTATTAGAGACTGGTGTTTGTTTGGTGGGAGTTGAAATGAAGGACC